CCCTAAGGAGAACTATGGGGAAAAACACTGACCCCATAGTTCTCCTTTTAATAATTTGTTTTTCCAATTCTGCAGCCAAAAGTTGAGAAAACCCCACTATGTTATGTGTTCCTATTCACACAGCATAACATAATCAAAACAAATATTTCTAACCTTTTAGATGTTTCTTTGGAGAAGACCTGTGGGCAGAATGCAAGCTACTCTGAACAATTTCAGAATGAGTCTGTTCCCAAAGACTGGGCATAGACTGATGTTTCCCACATTAACCTACAATAGATTCCAATTCTTGTTGTTAGGTCAGACATTTGTTCAAATCAGATAATGAAATCTGCCAGCACAGTACAGACAGGGTTAATTATAGTAAACCTAGCTTCCCACAGCCCCCTCCTTAACATCACATAGGAGGGAGGCTAGATAGGATGATAAAACAAATAAAAACATTTTTAAGTTATGTGATGTGAATGAGAACATGTAACAGATATAAAGCAGGTGTTATCCCAATTTGGCTGTAAAAGTGGAAACAAACTTTAAAACATATGTACATTTGTTTAAATGTGTTGGTCTTCTGATATATGCCAGAATATCTATGAGTTTTACCAGGAACATATTTAAACAGATCTAGGCTTATGTGTCATATTTATATAATACAAACATGTTACACAAACCATTACAAAGACGCTTACAAGCTAATGAAACCATCAAGATTCATCTTTCACTAATATGTTTTCAGTAAAGGTTTGTTGGGTGTTACTGCACTTGGTACACCACTGTCTTTCCTCTGCGTTTTTAGATTAGTCTGATAGGGTTGCCTGTATTGCCACAAGGTAGAATAATGTGACACTTATTAATGAATTAAGTTCATCGAGTAGTTTTTATTATCACTTAATTTCCCTTTTTGACCAAAGATAAATCATTGCTTATACAGTACTATACCTGTCCCAGCCAACAGGAAATGCTTACAAATAGCAGATAGTCTATAGCAGTAAGTCTATTGGCTGCCCCCATAGAAGCTTTACTGTAGTGTAGGCTTTGCAAAAAAATGTGTTTATCATTTTAGAAGCAAGTTTGCTTCCTCCACATGCAATGCAGGACTAATAGTAATGTTTAGAGGCTGCACACAGCCTGGAGTGTCAGGGAGAAGAGGAGAGTGCCGGAGCGAGGGTAAAGGTAAGTAGCACAGCCTTTTCATCTCACCCCTAGAGTTAACAAACATTTAAACGTTGCAGTTTGGGGGAGAAGGGGGGCACTGCAAGGGCATTTGTTTCCATCCCAGAGTTCAGCTTTAATGGTCCCATGGTATGTGGTAATGCAGCCCATATGTTTCAAGAGCACACATGTGCTTTACTACTCTTAAAGGAGAACTATGAGGTGAGTGAAAAATCACTCAGCCTCATAGTTCGAGCCGACGTGTGACAATGAAACTGTCGCAAAACGGCTCGCTCACTTCTCAATCATCTACTTGCAGAGAGCAGTGACTGTCAGTCACCGCTCCCTGCAGGGATTCCCCCCTCTCTGCTCCGATCCTCCATCGCTGACTGAAGGAACGGACGGGGAGGGGGCAGGTACAGCTGGCTCTGCCTCTAGATAGGCAGAGCCAGCTGTCACCCACGCAGCTGGGTGGATCTCAGCAGCATTGTCGGGATCCGTCCAGGCGGCGGCTGCAGTCTCAGTATGCCACAAGCTGTAGCTTGCAATTTACTAAGCTTTGGGTCACAGGAGGACGCTTGTATATGTCCCCCTGTGACCCTTAAGAGAACTATGAGGAAAAACACTTACCCCATAGTTCTCTTTCATTTCTGACTTTGGTACCCATGCAGGGAAAACCAACAAATTCACTTAAATAACGGTTCCTGCCGCAGTTAATATGTACTTTCTCTTCTCTCTCACACTACTGTGTTCACCACCAGAAGTGAAGAGAACATACATGTTACTTCTGGTTATAGGGAAGCATGTGATTCACTCCCCTTCCTCCCATGTGACAGTGCTTGGTAATTGAATGCTCAGGCACCAGTGTCCTCACAGAGAGGGACTTGAAACTTCAACAAGACTTCTTCAACTCACCTTAATTGATGAATGGGGGAGCGGAGGGAATGTAGGCATTACATGATATAGAGGCTAGAATTATTGCAAAGCTTTGCCCTACATAAGCAAAGAATAGGCTCACTTTAAATTTACATTGCTTTTCAAACATGCCCATTCACACCAAAACGATGATGTGCTACATTTAATGTGCTTTTCATCGAAACTGCAGTAAACTCAAAACTAAGTTTCAAGGTAAGCCTGAACTCAAAATCTAGATAATACATCTATATATTTTTTCTATTTCTTTTTGGACGGTTTTCTTAGAAAGTCTATAGACCACAATCTTTAGAGGTTTACCTTTTGATAAGATTGTAGATATTTAGCTAAAAGGAAGCACATTAATAAAAGTCACATAATGCAGTGTCATTGTTAAACTGATACTGACTTTACAGGTAGCCATACCTGCTGGTTACTAGTTCATCTCCCCACAGCTTGTGGTTTTCCTGATACTTTCAGTGTGTGCTTAACCTCAGAATCAAAACATTGTGACATCTGCTTCTGGTAAACAGGATGTGCCACTTAGTCGAAGGTAGTCCGCTTCAAGTTTCAAATCATGCTAATTTGTTCATACATCGGCATAATTCACAGTCTACTGATCAAAGGGCAGGAAGCATTCAAAATGGTCATAGAAATCTGCAACCTTTTCAATTTCTTACATCATTTTTCAAGGAGCCTTGATCAAGGTGGTGTGACTTGAAATACATTGAAATTTGGCTGTCTTATGATTTGTGACTGTGTAAGGCTGTACTTTAAACTTTAACATACGTTTTGTTTAAAAAAAATAAAAAACACTCTAGGTGAACTATAAAACTTACAAGATTTATAGCAAGCTTTTTACAGATTCATACCTTTCTTAGATATGATGAAATTGCTGTCCTTTTTTGGACTAATTTCTCAATGGGAGGGGGGTAAGCCTTCATTATAAACATCTGAACAAATGTCAGTTTTTAGAGAGTAACAGACTTAAAGCTGAAGTTTAGGATTTTTTCTGGGAGTGGGGGGATGAATACAGCACCAAACACATAAGAAAGATGTGTTTTGGTGTGTATCACTATACATGCAGCAGCTGCTTCTGGCAAACATTGTCCTCTCACTACGCCACCTCACAGCCACCACATCTTACACTCAGGGGCGTTGTGAGAGGCTGCAGGGAGAGAAGTCTGCCCACCCCCCCCAGCTCTCTCCTCCATTTACAGAACTGTTCTTACTATGATCCCACAATGCATCGAGTTCCGTGAATGGAGGAGGAGATTTTGTCATTCAACAGCTCTCTCCTCCATTTACAGAACTCAATCTATGATCTATACTCAGATCCCACAATGAGTTGAGTTCTGTGAAAGGAGGAGGAGGAGATTATCATTCAACAGCTCTCTCCTCCATTCACAGAACTCGATCTAGACTATGATCTATGATCCCAGAATGTATTGAGTTCTGTGATGGAGGTGGAGATTTTGTCATTCAACAGCTCTCTCCTCCATTCACAAAACTCAATCTGTGCCCTATGCTATGATCCCACAATGTATCAAGTTCTGTGAAAGGAAGAGGAAATTTTGTAATTCAACAGCTCTCTCCTCCATCCACAGAACTTGATGCATTGTGAAATCATATTAGGAATAGTATTGTGAATGTAGGAGATTGCTGAGGGGGGTGGGTCAGCGGTGCAACTTTACACAGCGGCTGCTGACCGACGTCTCTCTAAGCAGCCTCTCACAGCACCCCTGAGAGTATTATCAAAGGGTGCAATGCCAGAATGATTGTTGCCAGAAGCAGCTGCTGCAAGTACGAGGATATACACACATACACATATCCCTTGTGCTCAGTGCTGTATTCCCCCCAAACATCTTAAACTTCAGCTTTAAGGAAGTATTTTACCAAAAAAAGGAAGCACCTATTTCAGTGCAGATTTCTGAGAAGAGCAAACAGCCAAATGTCACAAGCAGGAAATAACATTTATGGGAGCATTCTGTACCCCAGTGTTGTAGAGTACCTCCAGGCTGCCATATTGCCACAATACATGACATTAGATGTAATTATCTATTCTATAAATAGATGTAATTTTCCTTGTTTACATGTTGTTTTCATGTATGCTTGTATCCAAAGACTAATAGTTAAACTACAGGGATCTCAAGTCTCCCTGATGTTCAGGGAGTCTCCCGCTATTGGATAGCGGCTCCCTGACGTCCGCGAGAGAGGCATTTTCTCCCTGAAAAGTTTACTCTGAGTAAACCTTTCCGGTAAGATAATGATATCACTGGGTATGGTAAAGTTTCAGAGTGAGGCTTGCCACCTGGAGGAAGGTCATGTGATCTCTAGAGTAGACCTCAAAACGAGGCTTGGCTCTCGGAAGGAAGAAGCTACTTGCTGCACAGAGAGGGCGGACATAGACTACTATTGAGAGCAGGTACAGGCACACTGGAGCTACTGCTGCAGGGTTGAGAGAGTGCTGTTAACCCTTTGTGGATAATACAGAATAAATGATATGTCCCGGTTGTCTAGTTATAGAGAACATTTCATTTGCTGCCCATAGTAATTAGTCAACTGTGTATCAGGGACTTTACTCCTGAATTTTTCAAGCCCTGTATATATATATATATATAAATATTATTATTTCTTTTATATTCTGACGGTGGCCGCTGTAAAAAAAACAAACAGAAAGGGCACCTCCCTGAAATGAGACGGGCACCTCCCTGAAATAAGGTTTTGCAGGTTGGGATGTCTGAAACTATAAAGTTAAAAAAAACCAAGGTGTTAAGGTGACTATGTATAGATTAACTTTTATGTACAATCTAATAAAATCTGATGAATATAAAATGAGAATTATGCCACTTGGTGTACAAAAAAAGCTACCTGCAGAAGATAAAAATAAGAAACATTATCAAAAAATTTTCTCTGACCATTGTTCTCTCTCTTTCCTACAGACGGGACAGTTGCATTCTCAGTTTTTGCACCGCACTCAAAGTACATATGCCCAGAAGGACATGAGGTGAACCTCACATGCTCTATCAGAGGACACCGTAGCCATCAGCATGACATGTTAAGTGTACATTGGGCTTTCACTAAAGACAGGAACCCAGGCTGCACAGAAGAAAAACATGCGAAGAATACAACAGAGAACAGCCATCACAAAGGAGACCATTTCTCCAATCGTCTGTTCTATAGAACGCTGGTGAACATCACCCAATCAGACAGCGGTGGCTATTGCTGTTTTCTCTATGAGACAAATAAGAAGCATTTGATCCATGAAGCACATGGTTATATGGAACTTCAGGTGAAATCAGGTAACCGTTTTGCATTTTTAATGGCTTTAATTGTACATAGAAAATTATTTTAAAATGATGAATTTATGGGGGGAAAAAACTACCGTATATAAAAATAATTCAAAAATAGAAAAAATAACAGTAAAGATACTGACAATAATCAGATGGCACATATGGGTTCAGTAAGTGTTTTAGAAAAAGGGTCAGGAAACGGGTTAGTGTACACCAGTGCTCTGTAAAGCTTCTTCTTTGAAAATGCTTTTCAGTGTCAGTAACTGTTGATGTCATAGCCCTTTAACATCTGAAAGGCTCTCTCTGTTTAGGAGAGTGCTGAAGCTAAGACAAGACCAATGTGGGCAATTTTAACACAAGTGCAAGGTATATGGTAGTAGCTAGCAATTGTGTGCACATAGTCTTAGAAATTATCTTAGTGCCAAAGATCTTCTGACAAATGTACTCAAAGACACTTCTTCTACTGCACATGGACATGTAACTGTGCAAAGACAATTTAAATCCAAGAACCATTGCCAAGAGCATCTGCTAAAGTTCATGGCTTCCCACAGTCATATTGATCTTCAGTATTCATCAGGTGCCTGTGGGCCATTCAGGCCTTGGTGTCCTGGTGTTGATGCATATTTTTTTCATGCATTAACATGTGTAGCAATTTTGCAGCCCATTCATTTGACGCACCAAAGGTCCGAAAAGATGGATATGCACAATACTGGCAATACAGTGTACCACAGTTCACGGTAATGCTTTGCCAAGTTTTGCCGTGCGCCGCAACACAAGCGCTTTGCAACTGCATTCCCTTGGTGTATTAGGTGCCTTTCAAATAAATGGCACTGCAACGTGTTGATGCATTTGTACGCATTACCGTGATGCACCACAGTAGAAAGGTGGGAATGGCCCTAAAGAAAGTAACAGTGAATATAAATGGACATAAACCTATGTAAGCAGAAATTGGTTGGCATCGGGTGACATTTAAGTTTTCAGTTTATCTGCTTTCAAATGCCACACCCCTTGACATCCTGAGAAAATGATTAAATCACTAAAGAAGTTTGACATTGTTTATAATTTTGCTCTGCAGCTGAGTGTTAGCTATTGTTCATGTGCTATGAATGGCTTCCTTTAGTGTCCTTCAATAGACAGGAAGTCTGATATGGTAGTTAGCTAAAACAGCTGTAGAAAGCTATTGAAATGTTTACACCATTATTTATGAATTACTGTATGCTGCATTGCATAAGGGGTCATATGGGAAAACAGATTCACTGATTATATGTGAAATGACGACAACAGAATATTAAAGTGTATCTAAACCCACATCTAATATATTGTATCTTACCAGACTTTGCTAAGCTGCATTAGTTTTCCTTTTTTTAGGCGTATTTTCCCTTTAGCTTCACTTGGCCATCCTGTTGGTAACATATTTTCTATCCTAGGGTGACTATGGTAACTTGCTACACTGTATGAGGAGCAGCATTATCATCCTAGGCTCCTCTCCTGACTTGGACTACTTGCTTCATCTTCATTACGTAGGGTGGAGTTGTTTTGTAGTTCACAGAAGATAGCTGGAAAAGCTAATAACAGATTTTTGTTCAGTGCACAGGAAGTTACAAGGACAGAGGATTTCAAGCAGGATCAAAGGGAATGTTTCTGTACCTGCAGAAAATGTACTGAACAAAATATACCCCTAAAAGTTTCTACATTGCTGCTTACTGGTTCAAAGTGGAAACGAGAGCTAGGTTTTCAAAAGTCTCCTGAACAGTGGACCCAAGCATGAAATGATTTCTCTTTCTGCTCCATCAATTCTGCAGAGGGGGCTACAAGGTCACAATGAGATGGCACCGTATTCCAGCCCACTATGTTCCAAACTACCCCAATACTTGTTTACAAAGTTTGACTCTTTAATGCAATTATCACAAGATCATCCTGGATAGCACTCTTTACATGAGAGAATTGACTTCCTAAAGAAGGTCCAATAAAAGTTTTCCTCTTATCATGTTACCCACAAAACAATCCATTGCCAAATCATGGAAACAACCAAATACTAATTTCAATAATAATAATAATAATAAACTCTTAAACATGATCCAAGATAGTATAGAAATATTCTAAAAAATCTGGAAGCCTCGTATTGAGAACTTAACTTCTAGTAGCCCATGGTCCTAGAGGCTGGTACCCCCATATGCATGCTCCTGGTCCCTTCTCGGGGCCCTAAAGCCTGACCAACCACTTACCCCTCCTTTTCTTTCTGTTACAATCCTCCCAACAACCCCCTACTGCTCCCACAATATACCCTCTTTCTCTCTCTAGACTGGTAGGCCATATTAGTATGTTCAGTATACAGTATATATAATGAATCCTTTATACTTTTAAGGATCACATCATTACTATATCTAAGGCCACTGGTAATGCAACACTATAATAATAATAATAATAATATACTAATATCAACTGTTGTAATTTTGGTTGAAATGAAGAAATGGCTTTAACAGAGGGTCTTTTGGTTCTTTTTTGCCCTGCCCACTTTCTATCTTGTCTTACTACTTACCAAACACTTCTTCATACATACCATGTTTTCCATACCTTGAACCACAAGTCTGAACAACTGTAATCTAGTGACAATAAATAACAGTGCAATTTTAGACTGTGTCTGTGCTACAATCCAGTCTTTCTAGATGCACAGTTGGTAATCCTCATGTCCTATTTTATATTCTTGCACTGATTATAACAGGTATGTAACAGGAGTTTGCACATGGAAATAAATGGCTCTGTAGTTTTTGGCAATTGTTGTATGATAAGTTCACCAGTTGTGGATACATAGCTCTCAACTGTACCTTTTTAAAAAAAAACAAATCCCTCTGTCCACCTTTATGCTCAGATATCATTCTTTTTGGGCTAAAGTATAAAACTTGGAACATTGGAATAGCTGGATCTAATCCTAGACACAGCTCAAGCCAGGAGAACCTTTAAAGTCTGAGTTCCTAGACTCTTCAGTCCAGGAGTTGTCTGACTCTTGACTTCTGAATGAGAGTTCTGGGGCTGATGGGTGCCTCCTTCGAGGCAGTTCCATTTATAAAATTCCTCTCCAGAACCCTACAACACAACATTCTGTCATCATGGGCCGATCTGGCACTGAAGACCAGGTTGTCCCTGGCCTTGTGGCTCAGAAATGTGGGCTCTCAAGTTGGGAAGTCCTTCATTTCAGTCTCTTGGATGCCATCCTTACATTGGATGCCATCCTGTTGGGCTGGTGAGGAATACTGAACACCTTGTTGATGCAGGGGACTTGGATGTCAGAAAAATATTGTCTACCGAGCAACATTCTGAAACGTCTGGAAATTTGGTGGTGCTGCAGTATTGGACATCCTGACTGGAGGGTCATCTGTAACGAATTCAGTTGGACAACATCATAGAAGTGTTGGCAGCACCTGGTCCCATTGGTACTGGTCCCGATACCTGGAGATATTCTAGAACCTTTATCATAGGTGTGGGATCTCAGATGTGGACTTCCTGGCCTCCAGGTTCAACAACAAACCAGAAAGGTTTGTCTATGGGTTACTTCTAGCTGAAACAGTGGATGCATTGGTGGCTTTGCAGGATCAGTACACCCTGATCTATGCCTTTTCTCCCCTGAAACTCCATCATCTGCTTCATAGGATTAAGATGGGGAGCATTCCTTTAATCGTCATAGCTCCAGACTGGCCCAATACTCTGACTTGATCAGACTCCTGGCAGATGCTGTGGATTTTTTGTCTCATGGACCAATTTACTACACTGTTTCTTGGTCACTGGCTGTTAATGACATGGCTGTTGAAGCCCAAATTCAAGACAGAGGCATATTTGAATCAATGATTCCCACTATGGTAAAAGCTAGAAAGTCTACATCCGCAAGGTCTATCATTGCATGTGGAAGGATTACGTCACTTGGTGTGAGACACGAAATCTTAAACCAACTAAACTCTCCCTGGGATGATATCTGACATTTGTACAGATGAGCCAACATTTGGGCCTGGACCAACCTTAAGGGTTAGGTCTCTGCAGGTGGATCCAATTCTGGTTTTACATTCTTTGATGGTGTCTTCAAAGTGTCTGCACCCATGAGCTACCATGTGACTCCATGTTATCTCCGTTTGGTTTTCTTGGCACTTTAAAAGCCACCTTATGAACCAATCATGGATATTTCCCACTCCACTCTCACAAGTTTGTGTCCCTTGTTGTCATCACCTTGGTGAAGCATGTGTCTGAGCTGATGGCCTTATCCTGAAAAGAGCACTTCCTGGTGTTACACAAGGACAAGGTGGTTTTGAAACCCACAACTTCCTTCTTATCTAAGGTAATTTTGGCCTCTTATGTCGATCAGGACATCATTCTTTCATCCCAGTCCAGATCCTATTCATCAAAAGAAGATATCTCTTAATTGCCTGGAGGTAGTTTGTGCTGGTTAACTTTACCTCATAGCCACTGCTCCTATTAGGATGACTGACACTCTGTATCTCATTCCTGATGGTCCCTGTAAAGGCAAACCAGCTTTGTGTGCCACCATTTCTAGGTGGCTTAGAAAAACCATCATTCAAACTTATGATCTTAAGGATTGGGTTTCACCCTTTCTTGTCAAGGCACACTGCACTAGATCTGTAAGAACTTATTGGGCTTTTCGGCATCAGGCAGCTTTTTTCCCATATTTGTGAGGCTGCCATGTGGTCTTCGGTTCTCCAAGTTTTACCAGGTGGATGCTCGGACCTGATCTGATACCAGCTTCAGCTTTAAGGTCCTTCAGGTGGCTCTTTATGTTGCAGGCAGTCCCCAGTTCTGTTGTTTCTTGTGGGCCTTTTAGTATTCTGTCACCCACCCTCAGTTGGACTGATTTTGGACATTCTGACAGTCTCTGAATTCCTGTGTCCCTCAATGCATGAAAAAGAAAATTGTATTTTTGTACTTATTGTAACATTTCCTGGATTTCATTGAGAGACACAAGTCACACCTCTCTGTGTTTTATCATAATGCTCAGTACTGTTGTATCACCAAACTGACGTATGGTGGGAGTAGGAGGAGTTATATTGGGCTGGTCCATAATTTTTTTTGTTTGCCAATGACCAATTTTTCTGTCCAGTCCTCCTTTAAGTGTCAATATTTCCTGAAAGTGCCTGAATTCCAGTGTCCGTCATCGGACTCAGAAAACTTTTTTACGAAAGTCCCATTTTCCCATTTTAGAATGTTAGGTATGTAATACTCGGCCAGAGGGGCATAACATAATGATTGTCATGGTTTATTCTGCTAAGCAGACAGGAGTAAACAGCCATGAAGGCTGTTGTTCAACTGAGCTGAACTAATAATGGCCCAAAAAAACTAAAACACAATGGTATTTTTCTGTGTACATTGAAAATTTTGTAACTGATTTTCATTTTACATTTTAGATGATCCAGATCTTAAGGCATGTTCACTTCTCTCATCTGAAAAGGACAGTGATGGTATGTACATCTTTCTGTTAACCAATGCCACCTTTTAGCTTGCTATTGAACTCGTTTAGTCATGCTGTCATAAAGATATTAAAATAAGTGTGACATAGTTTACTCTCTTACACGTTTTCATGCACTGTTAGAGCCTACCCTTTAAGATGAACACCGGGTAGCTATTACACATGGTGCAAAACACTACATGACCTTAATCCCATCTGTCAGTTTCTGGTGGCATGTCGGTGAGGATTTAAGGATGTTGTGGATACATACGGGACATGCTTTAACCTGCTCAAGGATAGGGTTAAACTGGCTATGAAACATGGGGACCTATCACACTTTAGGGTTGATTTACTAAAGGAAAACTTTACTAAAGGTTAACTTTGCAAGGGAATTTTCCCTTAGCTTAATGAATGAGCTGAAGCTCTGCTGACATCTATCATCCAGTCGAGTGCAAGAAAAATTACTGTTTTTTTTTTTCTTGCAAGCTGGTCGGTATTCTTTGCAAAGTGAATTTTTCAGCACACTCAAGCTAAGAAAAATTATCTTCCAAAGTGATAATTCTCTTGCAAAGTTAACAGCCTATTTGCCTTTAGTAATTCAAAACCTTTGTGTCAACATCATGCTGCAAGTTTCCCCTGCCATTTGCACTGTTTACAGTTTAATATTTTTTACTATACCAGTATTAAAGGATGTACTGTTGAAATATGGAGGCTACCATTGCTGACCACTTCTTCAGAAAATGACAGTGGTCTGGCTATCATGCTGGCTTCAGTTCTCCGGGTCCTTAATTTATAATACGTATGGACACCAGGAGTTCTGACTTTCATTACCTGTATATTTGTTCCAGATCAGTGACTTTAACAGTAGCTAAAGACAGTTAGACAATTAGCATTTTTTAGAGAACAGCAGCAGCAGTTTTCATATTTCTCTCAGTACAAGTTTCCTTTAACACCCAGGTTAACACAAGATTGATCTGTCAGTTAACACTAACCAAATATATCTTCTGTTATCTATGCTAACTTACAGTAGGTGTTCAGAAATAGCCTGTACAGTCACTAGTAAATCCTGGCAAACAATGGCTTAGTCATTCTAGGAAATACTTAACTTATTCTTTATCTGTCTGGCCAAGTAAAATTACATTGTTACCAGATGGTTTGCAATAAATCACAAGTACTAGAACGGTGACCTCAATTGTTGAATATAGAATTCTAATTACTGAATCACTGTAAGAAAGGTTCTCAACCTTTCTCAGTGAGCCACAATGAAATATATCAAGCAGTAAGGAGCTTCTCTCCAGTATGTAAAATAACACTTGGATGGCCTCTTGTTAAAGGCGCATTCTAGTCAAACATGAAAATTATGCAATAAAAGGACAACTATAATAAGGCACTTGTAACAGTTTAACAGGGTTATTCACAAAAGGGTGAGGAGTTTGGAGAAGGCAGGAAAAGTGCACAATCCAGGACAACATAGCTGAACTGGAAAGTGAGCTGAATTGGAGAATTTTTCCTAGCTTGTCCACTTCTGCTGCCTTCTCCAAACTCTTCAGACTTTTGTGAATAACATTTTAAGTGTTAAAGTGGACCTTTTTACCCCCTTTGGCTAAAAATTACATCAGCATGCCGATATCAAATCATCTTACATTAATTAGCTAAACATACATATTTTCATTTTACTTACAATTTCTCGTTTTCTACGTCCTGGTTCTCTTTGGCAAAAGTGATGTAATTTACCTAAGCATTGCATCCTGGGAAGGTTACATCAGCAGATCTGTAATCTCGTGAGATCTCAGGGAAAGATATTTTCTTCCCCTGAGATGATGTACATGGCCACATGTCCTAGTCACATGTGCCAGAGTTTCAGGAAGTAAAGGGAGATGGACTCATCTGCCCTTACTAAAAATGGCCACTGTGAGAAGAATGGAGAAGAAAAGAGAAGAAAAGAGAAACAAGGTATGCAAAGAATAAACAGCCAGCAATTATCTATAAATATATAAATATGTGTGTAGATTGCCATTACTAAACATTTCTAATAGGGCTGTGCAAATTAACGATTAATTTCTCGATTAATTGTTAATCTTTTTGATCGCTAATGAAAATATTCACCTCTCCGCCGCCTTCCGGGAGTCCCGTCGGAGATCCGGTGACGTCACGGACATCGACATCTCCGGACTCCTCCCCCCTTCCTCAAGTGGCTCCGTCGGCAAATGAAGCAAAGGGGGAAGGAGTACGGTGACGTCGATGTCCCCAAGTGGCTCCGTCGGCTAACGAAGGGAAGGGGGAGGAGTCCGGTGGCGTCGATGTCCCCAAGTGGCTCCGTCGGCTAACAAAGGGAAGGGGGAGGAGTCCGGTGACGTCGATGTCCCCAAGTGGCTCCGTCGGCTAACGAAGGGAAGAGGGGAGGAGTCCGGTGACATCGATGTCCCCAAGTGGCTCCGTCGGCTAACGAAGGGAAGGGGGAGGAGTCCGGTGACATTGATGTCCGTGACGTCATCGGACTCCTACCCCTTCCCTTCGTTAGCCGACGGAGCCACTTGGGCCGGTGAGTTTGCCGAAGAAACTTTCTGCACGAGCGCCAGCCAAGGCATTGGCCTATTCACATACAGCACAGCAATGAAGTAATAAAATGAACTAGGATCACAGTAATCCAGCACGTTATTATTTGGAGTTGCCCCACTCAAGCGGCAGCCATATTGAGTGAGGCACGTGAGATTAATAACGTGCTGGATTAGTGTGATCCTAGTTCATTTTATTACTTCATTGTTGTGCTGTATGTGTATAGGCCAAATGTAACTGGATCTGTATGTGCGTTATAATTAATCTGTTCGATTAATCGAACACGAAAATTTTAATCAGTAACAGCCCTAATTTCTAAAGGTGCCTTTGGTATTATTTTGAAGATATGGATAAAGTTCCTCTTTAACACATTTTCAAAGTTTGCAACAATGTATATATTTTCCTGGGGTCTATTATATTGGTTCAGCTTTGCTGTTATGTTCTTTGTTCGTGAAAGGAAGGCTGCAGCGTTTTACGCAGCACTAAGAGCAAGAGTCATTGGGGTTGATTTACTAAAGGCAAATATCCTATGCATTTTGCAAGGGATTTTTTCCTTAGCTTAGTTAATGTGGTGAAACTCTGCTGAACTCCATCATCCAATTATACATTACCAAAAATACTGTTTTCTTTCTTGGGTATACTTTGAAAAGTGAATTTTCACCACATTCACTAAGCTAAACAAAAATTCCTTTTGCAAAGTGAACATGGTCTACCTCCTTTAGTAAATCAACCCCACAGTTTCACAGTCACTTATGCATATATAAAATGAAAGCACAGTGTGCCAGATTCATCAAGCTGCACTTAAGACATGCCATAATATTGACCCCTTTAGCATACAGTACCTTAATTTCTGTTTTAGTGCACCTTGCTATTACAGCTTGATTAATCAGGGCCAACGAGTCAGAATTATTCAGAGAGTGGTGATCAATGATTCATGCTCTGAATGGTCTGAGGTTGTTAGTGGTGTCACCCAAGGTTCAGTGTTGGGCCTCTTACTGTTAAATCTTTTTATAAATAACATAGAGTTGGGTATTAAAAGTACTATTTCTGTGTTTGCAGATGACACCAAGTTATGTAGTGGAATACAGTCCTTACATGATGTCTCCAACTTACAAGCAGATCTGAATGCACTGTATGATTGGGCATCTATTTGGCAAATAAGGTTGAATGTTGATAAATGTAAAGTTATGCACTTGGGAACTAAAAACATGCATGCGTCATACACTATAGGGGGAGTATGTTTGAAGGAGTAAATCATGGAGAAAGATCTGGGTGTTCTGGTAGACCATAGACTGAATAATATCATGCAATGTCAAGTTTCTAAAGCAAGCAAAATACATTTTTGTATTAAAAAGGGAAACTAGGGGGCACTCTTTGCGTCTGGAGGAAAAGAGGTTTAACATTTGCATATGGAAAGTACCATTCACAGTTGTGAAAATGTGGAATAGACTGCCCAGGAGCTAGTTCTAGCTAGCTCAGTGAACTGTTTAAAAAAAAAAAAACAGGATGTATTCCTAAATGCACAGAATATTACTGGATATTGAGTTCTTATAGGTATATTAAGCATCAGATATTGTTGATCCAGGGAATATCCAATTGCCCTATGGGATCAGGAAGAATTTTTTTTCACCTTTTGGAGCAAATTGAACCATGCTTTATAGGGTTTTTTTTTGCCTTCCTCTGGATCAACAGTGGGTAACTGTGGGCATGGCGTTCTGTTTTAGGTTTATATTTTTTCTTATCTCTAAAGGTGGAACACGATAGACTTGTGTCTTTTTTCAACCTGACTATGTAACAGTTTCAAGGCCTAGCTATTTCAGATATTGCTCACTATTTCTGATGTGTTTTAAGTGCTATTGCAGCTTAGTGGATTAGGGCCATTGTTTGAGTTTCTACTACTTTGCATTTCAGGTATAAACTTGTTTGTGTTCTACTGGCTTTAAAGCAAAGACTTTTATGAAACTGAGTGTAGAAACCCTCGGAGCCACAGAAACAGGCTAGTAAAAAAAAAAGTTATGTAGTAAGCACGCATATAGGTATAGTCTGATTTAATTAAGTCTACAGTAATTAGGATAATTCATTTTAATTTATCCTATGCTTTTTATTTCTTTCCGGTAGGCACAACAGCAGCTGCAGTGGCCATTGTGGCCTGTATTGTTGGAATCCTGTGCATGCCTCTTATACTAATACTAGTTTACAAACAAAGAAAAGCAGTGACTGCCAGAAGTAAGTATCATCAACTGAATGAGATGAAATATCCATGCGGACTGTAAAATTAACACTGCAATTAAATAAGGGGGGTTTAAATGAAGTATACTTTGGTTGATTCTGACTAGAAAAAACGATTTCAATTACTTATATCACAGCCACTGTTACAGTTGCCTATTTGCTTGATCTTCCTGTGACGGTAGTCTTGTTTTTCTTTGAAACTGTGTACTTAAGGTTTATTGGATTACTTCTATTTTTTATGTAAATCTTTTGTCTTGTTATATAAAGTTATTAAAAAATATCATAACAATCTTTAAAGAAAGTATTCTGGTTACTGAATCTAGTTGTCTTATAGCCAATGTATTCTCTTTCGAAAATCAAATAAAACAGCTTAGTCTACGGACTGTATGTAGAATCAGTGAGGGCTTTAAAGCGGTCCTGTTTAGCATTCACTCCAGAAAGGACGGGGCCAAAACACTCACCATTTATAAATACAGCCCATAGAGTAATATGTTATATCTTAGAGAGAATAGAGTTGGTTGTCACCACCTTTGGTAACAATAACATGTTTTTATACACCCAAGCAAGTAACAGTGACTTCTGGAGTCCCCACAGTGTCCATTATGAAACACATTGTGACTGACCTTAAAAAAAGAAAGGCAACTCAAAAATGTTACTATGGTTGCTACTTTGCTTATAGTTTTATTGTGATAGAAAAAGAAGTATTATACCATTATAAATGGAACTGGCAACATTTTATAAAAAAAGAACACAATTATTAGTAATCTTAGCTGTACAGAATGTTCGGCCACAAAAATCTTTGATTTATAGTGGACAGCACAATAAAAGTGTCCAGAGGAGGAACGTCAATAAAATCTTACCCAAAACAAACAAGGAACAATGCTATGGAATGTATGCTACATACACAGATGAAATCAGCATTTATTGTATAGTCAGAATCCAATGTAGAAAGAAGTAATTACTTAAAACTGTTATTTGAAAATACAATTCACAGAGTGCAAATAAGACACAAACACAAATGATGAATAGCAGTGACCTAGCTGTTGAAAGGTGTACTACGTACTTTTCATCATTTTATCATTTTTCATGTAAAATGAGAAACAGCAACTTAACTTTCATTTCTTATTATTCTAGGAGCACAGGAGTTGGTGAGAATGGACAGGTATGTTTTCTTTGTGTAAATGCTCTAAGTTCTCTCTTATAGATTATTGTCTGTCTGTTGAACAAAGCCATTTTACAAGTGCAACAAAAGAAGTGCATTTGAAAGTTTGTATGAGCCTTTAAAAGGGAAAGTGCACCCTTCATTTCCTGAGCTCTATAATTGTCATACATTCAGTGCCCAGAACTGGCACAGCTTTTACTCCAATGGCACTGCATTTTCTATTCAGAGCCCCAAATTTGCATTGATTCAAGATGGGGAACAACCATCAAAAATATTTTTCAAAAGGACTGTCATTATTCTCTATAGCCATTCCTTATCCCCAGTTCCTCACATGCACCAGGCTGTTGGGGAAAGTAGAGCCGGGGTTGTGAAAAATGCACTGTATCTATGCGCTTCTCCTTTAACTCCTGTAGGATAAAGGAACCCATACATATAAAAGGAGCATCATTATGGCTTAGCTAGTTGCAGGGGAGGAAGGGGTTTATTTTTTTGCTCAGTGGCCATGAGCGTGGCTTTGCCTTTGTACTCACAACAACGAAGTACCATGATACATCTATGTGTACTTTTTGAAGAAAGCATTGCAAAGAGCAAAAGGATAGCATGCAAAGCCTGGTTCAGTTAAAGTGGGCCTTTTACCCATATCTTTAAAATAACAACAAACACACTTTTAGAAATGTTTAGTAATGGCAATCTACACATACTTCTAGATAATTGCCAGCTTTGTATTCTTTGCATACCTTATTTCTCTTTTCTTTCTTCGTCTTCTGACAGTGGCCATGTTAACTAAGGGCAGATTACTAGCTCTCCATTTACTTCCTTGAACTCTGGCACATGCGACTAGGACATGTGACCATGCACATCACCTCAGGGGAAGAAAATGCCTTTCCCTTTCTTTTTTTTAGAAATGGTCTATTTTTTGTGCTGTATGGGATTCTTGCTGTGTTAGCACTATAGTGTCTGGCACTACACTTGAAGAACCTACTGTAGATTTTCTAAAGTGAAATGAAGTGACAAATATCCAGTCCCATAAACTTCCTAGTTTTTAAATTTCCCTGTACACAAACATCAACAAATTTCACGCAAATAAATCACCACCACAGCGTTAACTGCTCTCTTATATTAGAGACAAAAAAATAATTCTACCATGTTCCGGAAGCAGGATACTGGATGGAATTTGATGTGTAAACTCGTATAGGGTTTTTATTTACCTTGCAGAGAGAACAGTTCCCAGCCCATGTACAAAGCCTCTTTATTAATGTAAAGTACCTGCAGATATTTGATGACCTCTGCTCCCCATCCCACCAGTCCTTAGTTCTATAAGTGACAACACACTTAAACAGATGCTCCTGGTCAGTCACTATTGGGGCTGGAGCTGTAACTCAGGTTGGATTTTCCTGGCCAATAGCTATGGTTTCCTTAATATAACTCTTCTACATTGTGTGTTAGGAGCTTACACATGCATGTAGGAAAAACAAAGAAAAAGCATCCAACCACCATATAGTGCCAATGGTAAAATAAAGAAAATCTGTTACAAACCAAAATACCTGTATTAAAAACCATTCTATTCATTAGTTTGGGGCAGTAAATTTGAACATTTTACTGGCACAGCCCCCACACTAGAATGGGATCTAGGAATTAGGGCATTGCTACTTATTCTGATTTGTTGTTTAGGGTACTACGATGTGTCAGTTTGAAAAGTCTGAAAATGTACACATAAAGTTTCCTTTGTAAATTGAACTATTTGTATAGTCAACTTTCATTGCAAAACCACTGGGATAAATTAGGTCTACATGATTAAAAACAATCTACTTTTTCTTTATTTGTAAAATGTAATAATGCAAATCAATAGTAGTAATGGCAATACTACGTATGTATTCATGGTACAGCAAATTACGGCCACTGCCAACTTTTTTTTTTTTCATTTGTCCCATAGTTCTAAAATGTATATTGTATAGCTAAACATTTGTGAACACCTGAACATCACACCTACTATATGGCCAAAAGTATGTGGATACGCCTCAAACGTACTGGGTTTAGATGCTTCCAGTGATGTTTATTGTTAAAGCTATGGCATACATGGATATTTCAGATAACTGAACGCTTTTTGCGGGAAGGCCTTTTTTTCAGCAAAACTATGCACAAAGCCGGGACCATTAGACATGGTTTGACAAATTTGGGATGGAGGAACTTGGGTGGCCTTGCACACAGCTCCAACGCAACCCTACTGACCACCTTTGGGATAAATTGAATCGCTGATTAGAGACCATCTTTTCTAGTCCAGCATCAGTACCTGAGTTCATAAATGTTCTTTTGGCTAAGTAAGCACAAATTCCCACAGATACACTCCAAATCTTGTGAAAAGTCTTCCCAGAGGAGTAGAGGATGTTTTAACTGCAAAGAATGGCACAACTGCATATTATTGCTAATGGTTTTGGACTGGGATGTCCTGAAAGTTCATATAGGTGTGATGGGCAGGTGTCCACATACTTGTTCCCATGTATTGATAGTGATATTGAAAAAACTAAAGTTATTTTAGAATGATTTCAGAATGTTTTATGAGCAATACAAAATGGTATTTCACAGAATTCTATGAGCAATAATACACTGGTACTTAACTGCAATGCACTGAGTGGGTCTTCATTTAGCCAAATGAGTACCACTTCAGGTCAAATGAAATTCATCTTATGCTATAAATGAATCAAGTATTCATTATGTATTCTTTCAGTGAAGCACAAGGTATTGAAAATCCTGTCTTTGATGATCCCCCTGCTGCAAATTCAGAACAGAGGCCCCGGCTTATTTTCATGTCTAGCCGTCAGCAGTCAGACTCAGGTCGCCACCTGCTTTCTGAACCCAACACTCCTCTTTCTCCCCCTGGACCAAATGACGTCTTCTTCCCATCGCTTGGTAAGTTTCCCAAGGAGAAAATTCCCTATCTGGTCAAATAAAACTACTTTGTAGGGAACATATAGATTCAATTGTTATAGATACATTATTATAGACAGTAGATAGTCTCTTTCTTGTAATATAAAGGATAGAAATCAAAATAAGATGTTAAAAAATCTGTGCACTATTTATACAGTCAGTACACCCAAAAATTATATTTTAAGAGTCAGTCCTTTTGCCTTGCTTACTCAAACAGTAAGAGCTTTGTTCTGTAATTTCTAACTCTGTTCCTGTCCACCTTGGAGTTAGGGGTTTTCCTACCCACTCTTGTACAATCTCCCAATATAAAATAAATAAGAAATTCCCCCTCCCCCAAAAAAAGAGCAGGAACCCCCCATAATGGCCACAGAAGATGTAAATACCCTGGAACTCAACTATAGATATCTCACCAATAGTCCCAGAGAGATATAAGAAATAGGTTAACATATTTCAAAGTTAGGGATGAGCAACTCCAACCAGGTTCAGTTCATGAACTGAATTTTGCTCAAAGTTGAGCTCAAGCTATTGTGAAATAAAAGGCAGGGGAAACCATGCATTGCCTTGGAGCATATTTACCAATGCCAAAATAAACCAAATTAAAAACTACTGTGTCGCAGGGAGAGGGCATTTTCATGCTACTTTGAGGGCTACATTAAAAATACACGAATCCTTTAACCTGCATTCTTGGGGGGATGCCTTAAAGGTGTATGTGGAGTTATGGAACAGTATATATTTCATGGGCAGCATACTCTAGCAGTGCATATTTGGCTGTGGAATTGATTTTTTTTCTTTTAGATGCAGCTTTGCTAACATACATTTGCAATAGCACCCCAATCTGATTAATTTAAGTTTTTAAAAAAGGCTATTTTCTGGTAGTTTAGCAGTGGTATATGCTTTTTCATCTTTGATCAGTGGAGGTAGCAGCTGCAACAGATCTAAAAGCCATAGCAAGTTGTCTTCTTAATATAGAAAAATGTTCCATGCGGCAAAACAATGCAGGGGACCAATTCCATGGCTTGAGCTGCTAAACAGGGCAGTATGGGTACAAGTTCAATAGAACAGGGAACCAGCAGAGGACAATTGAAGCATATATTCCTGCCAGTACAGGATAATGGGAAAGCATGCAGTAGAGATGAGAAAATTCAAGTATGTATGTGTGTATATATATATATACGAAAGGAAGCGATCACTCAAAGAGGAGGCCCATTACTCAGGTGGTGTTCATTACGGTCAAGCCAGAAGGCTGCAGCTTCAGGAGAATAAAAAAAATTGTGTTTCACCCACTACAATCACTCTCAATCTTGCCAGGTATAACATAGGATAGGGTAGACAGAGCTTACACAAAAGCTGCTTAATAGCAAGGTATTTGCCACGTTGCATCTGTACTTCCGCTGAGAAATACAGGAAAAAGCACACTTTGGAACGGTGCTAAGTAATATCTTCTGTAAGGCCAGCTTTGGATAGAATAAGGTCATGGTCCCTATAATGAAGCTTTTTCAAAATGAAGGGTTTTGGAGGCCGCCAGGAGGCAAAGGCCTCGCAGGTATGCAATTCGCCTGTTCCAGAGCATAGAATGGCATGAAGGTATCTTTGCCGAAAACATCTACAAGCCATTGGTTGATGAACTCTGTAGGATATTTACCTTCTCTGGAAGATCCAGTATGCAAACCATCGTAGAGGTCACAAACTGAATTCCAGCTGATTCAAACACTTGCCCCCACACTCAAGGAGGATCAGGAGAAGAAAAAAACTGGGTAAGTATGCCTTCCGTGCTGCTATATAGCTGAGTATCAGCTGGAGAAAAGCAAACTTGTGGCCGCTTACATCCGCTGCCAAGCCACGCCCCATTGTCTTCTTAATAAAAGCAGGTATAGCTGGGATTGGCCAGTGCCACAAGAGTTTGATGGTATAGTTTGTGAGCTTCTGTTTTTTGCAGCACCACAATGCATCATCTTAAAAGATTGCCTCGTTTTTAGGCCAGCCAATTATTGAAGTATTTTTAGGAGATGAATTTGATGCTTTACTTTTATTTATAATATGGGGATGAATGTGTGGTGATTTGGTGCACAATAGATACAGCACAGTAATGGGGCAGAGTGCTGCATGTAAAAGGCAGGCCCAAGAACAGATGGTCAGCAACAAGTGCATGATGTGCTTTCAAAGAATGTCCTAGCAACATAAAATAAAAACTGATATATCCCAAAAGAAATTAAAAGCCCCCTTTTTTGAGTCTTTCAGCAAAAAAAAAAAGAATTAAGCAGTTTACCAAGTTCAGGACAGCAGCTAAAAGTGTCTTCTACCCTCAAACCAAACACAAACTGAAATTCCAAACAAAAGAGCCCCCAATAATAAGGACAACAATAAGGCAGCAAAGGAGGTGACTGGCCAAAGCTCTAGCAATCAGATGTAATGTACATCCTAACTGACCCTAATCTCTCTCTATGCAATTGGTCATCCCTCCATACACTTTACAATACACTGACAATAGGGCTGCTCTGAGCCCCGCTTTTTTAGTAAGGGGGGGGCTAGCTTATCCAAAAGCTCACCTATTCGTCCTTATAACTCGCTAGTCACTACTATAACATGTAGTGCAATATGGTTTTAAAAGAACAATCTCTCTGGACACATTTTCACATACATTTTTTGGGTCTCAAATTTCAAACCGCAAAACCATGTTAGCAGCAAAACCAAGCTAGCGGAGCGCTAAGCAAACTTGTAAAGCAGATCACTGTGCTTCATCAATATGCGGTATATATACAATTATATATTATTTCAAGTCGCTGTGTGGATGTGGTAAAACTGATGCTTTACAAATGCCCCCTTAGTGCCACAGAAAAATCAATTTCTTCCACCTCCTGTGTAGTTTTTTTTATATTGCACACTGTGAAACAGGTCATGCTTGGAAGTATAATTCCAGGAAGTAAGTTACAGGTTTTTTTAACATTAGTTTGAAATTTTAATTGAAAATCAACATTTTCTTTCACTCACCCCCTTTAAATTGGTATTTCTTTTAAGCAGTCTTCCTTACTAACTAGACCAATAACAATACCAGAAAAACAAACAATGGTCTCTTGCATTGTCCATGTAAGACAAGAAACTTGCAAGTGTTCTAAATGAATCCAGAAAACCATTATGGACATCTATGAATTCATTTCAACTAAAATGTTTAACTTTTATTTTCAGCCAGGTACATTTAATTATGTCCTTAAAGGGGACAGCGACCACATTGTTTCTGAATGTCTAACCACTCTCTTTAGTTCATAGCCAGCATGACAAAACTAAATCAAGCTTTGTTTTATCTGTACAGAGCCAGTGCCAGATTCTCCAGATTTTGTGTAAATGAAGATTTAGGAGCACAACTGAAGGTTTGAAGAGATAAGCAATATTTGAAAGACTTATCTAAAGACTAAAAACGGTGTAGTCTGTTGCCGAACTGCATTCTTGCAGGAAAAGGAAAACATTGTGAAAGGATTATGAAAACAATTCTTGTGCAAAGAGTCTTCTCTTATGTCAAACAATGTATTTATGCACTGTTTAATAATGATATATATTGACTGGCAGCAACTAAGGTAAGCATGGGAATACCACAGTATAGAGCATGTCTCTGGGCTGTATAATGTTTATAGCATCACATAATACAACATCTAGTCTGCTCAAGAAGTATTTCTGTCTTTGTTCCTTACAGCTGAACTTCAGGTAGATATAAATGCTAGAAATAAATGCAGCTCTGAAATCAGTAATACATCATTTAAATGTGTTTTTAAAGCAGTGTAAGTACCTGAATCCTATTTGGTATCAGTCTTTTGCAGTCTACTGTGCAGCAGAACTCAGAGAGCGGGAGGGAGAATCAGCACAAGGAGCCAGTCAGGTGTGCTGATAGAAGGAGAGATCAAAATGACAGATGAGCTCATCAGTATGCTCATTTTCCTTTTATTCAGTTAAATAGTAGGGGTGGGTAGGATGCCTGTAAGTTCAAGTAAAACTGCAGCAGAGATCAGATTACCCCCCTTTCCTGCTTTTGGGGCAGAGCTATATAAATCTCAGGACTGTAAGGACAGAAAAACAAATCTTTTGGCAGGTAAAACAACTCTCATATATGTATTTCACCTGTGTATTTAGCAGTTTACCTGAAGTTCAGCTTTAAAGGGCAAAAAAAATGGGTAATTCTTATCATGCCTATACACAGGATATGATATGTGCATGCTGTAGGCCCTGGTCTTGCCAGCCCTGTTTGACGTTTTCTATTAAGCAGTTTTATTAACGTTGCACCTTCAGAGACACCTGAATGGGTCTCATAATGGAGGTCCCTGATGGCTTAAGATAAGTAAATATTCCAGTCCACAGGGCAGACATCGTTGTGCCTAGGATTTGATCAAGCCCTTCCTATATATGATTTACAAAAATCTGACATAAATGCCACTATTAATAGTTTTTTTCCTGACCCTTTTGTACTTGAATAAAGTACATCTAAGGATTATTTTTTTTAAATAATTAACCATTTTCATCAAGAAAATGAATTAACATAAACCTACTGTTTTTTAAGAAAAGGCAATCATGCATTTTATAACAGGTGCCTTAAATACTACCCAGTCCATTATATTGTGCTACAGATGGTAGCATATTTATTGGAAGAAGAAGAAATTGTGCCAAAAGCATCTTAAAGGAGAACTATGGGGTTAGGGCTTTTTCCCCATAGTTCTCCTTAGGGTAACGGGAGGACACAAACTAGCATCCTCCCGTCACCCTAAGCTCAGTATACTGAGACGCGGCAGCTGAAGCGGATCCCGACAATTATGTCTGGATCCGCCCAGCTGCGTGACTGACAGCTGGCTCTGCCTATCTAGAGGTAGAGCCAGCTGTACACGCCTCTCCCCCGTCCATTCCGCCAGTCAGCGTTGGAGGATCGGAGCGGGGTGGGGGGAATCCAGTCCCTCCCCTGTCACGGCAGAGTGCCGTGACAGGATCGAGAAGTGAGCGAACGCCGGTATGTGTTCGCTCACTTCCCGATCTACTGAGCCGACCTGTAAAAGTTTAATTGTCACAGGTCGGCTAGAACTATGAGGATGAGTGAAAAGAACTCACCTCATAGTTCTCCTTTAAAGCCAATCAAAATGTTTGCTTTATGATATTTATTTTAGAATATATCCAACGTATAATGTGCTTGATACAGTGTAAATGAGCGGGATTACAAGTATCCAAAATATCCCTTAAAATTCTGTGTTGCGTAGTTCTCCATTGCTAAATTTAAGGTTGTACCTATAACAGAACCCATTTATAAAGGGCAACATTCTAACACCTTGGTCAGTCCAGCTCTTAGCCTTTGCCATCACCATCTCTCTCCCTTTCTTTACTAGCATCAAAACTTCTAATTTTGCATTATGTTGCCACATTACTAGCCTTATTTTCATCATTAAACATTCCACAAGCAATAATAAATAATATAAATACATAGTATAAGACCGTGTGAATTTGTACTAGCCAATAAACATTTTTGGGAAACTGCAGATTAAAAAAACCCTTCAATCCCATTCACCACTACTGCAAATTTTATCTTTTTCTTGTGTTATATAACATTCTAAAACATAAACAAGAAAATTGAACAGAGGTACTCTTTAATTAAGCATCATCAGTGAGTTAGGCTATTTAACATGTAAATCTACTTTGTACTGTATTGATCACAGCCTTCAGCAGTCTCTAATGATATTGCCCGCTCCGGTAAATGTAAATTACATTTGCATGCAGCCTCAGTGGATTACAACACTAGTAGCTTCCTGTTGCACTTTCTATGAAGAAGATGAAGTAGGTAAAGAAGAAGTGATTCTTTCATTTGTTTCTTCCTGTTAGTTACAACATTATTAACCCAGAGAGCACACACAATGATGTGCGTCATTATACATATAATGGGGTTTATCAACTTAAAAACTAGAGGCTGTTCACTTTGGAAAGTGGAAGTAGATCGAAAACCCCTTTAGGTGACATTTTCTTTGCTAAGGAACTGTGTATCATACAAGTGTCAAGATTTTCTTTTCCAATTAAAAAAAATGTTTCTTTATCCTATTTTTTTCTAAATGAAACTTAACTGAACTTAGAAGTCAGCATAGCTTAACCTTATTCTCTAATACCCAGTCTTGTGGAAGGGAAATTAGCAAATCAAGATTTAGGTTTGGTTAATTGGATGATTATTATTCACTAAGCTGAATGAATATTTGTTATGCAAGGTGAACATAGGGAAAAGTATTCTTAACCCATGGCAGTGGGGCTACCCTGCAATGCAAGGGTTAAGTACTCAGTTTTGTCTAGGTTCAAAAATAAAGTTATACTCACCCGAACCTCCAAGCCAGCTTTCTTTTAGACGCCACCTCCGCTGCAGCAGACTAAGGTCCTGTGAGTCATCACATCCATTAGACTGTGTATTGGACACGAGGATGCCGAGGGACATACCATCAATGCAGCAGAAAGGACCGGTTTAAGAACAAGCTGGCTCAGGGGATCATGCGAGTATAACTTTGTTATTTTTGAACCTATAGAAGAATGAGCACTTAACCCTGGCAGTGCAGGGGTAGCCCCACTTGCAATGGTTAAGAATAATTTTCACTGGAGTTTTCAGTTTGCAAAGTAGAACTTCTCTACTCCTTTGGTAACCTAAGCCCTATGCCCGAGTAGTACAGATAATGCTGACTTGATTACATGCAGTACTGGGAAAGGACAGTGAGGTCCTTCCACCATCAAATAGAATTATATCACTTGAGAAATGTATTCAGTCTCCCTTTATGGACATGAATAATCCTGTGCATAGGAAGCATATATTATTGCTCTATTGCTCCAAAGTGGCTTTAGCAGATAAAAAAGGCTGAAAGGCTAGTATTTAGTATGAGAAGATTTACAAACATTTTTGCAAAGTAAAGCTCATTAGAGTAGAGCTCATCAAAGTTGTTAATTAAATTGGGGGGAAAAGCAGAAGTTAGCTTTCTGCTGTAACTTCGATAGAATATATAGGAATTATTATACTTCTTTACCAGTTAGGACCCAGAACGTATGGGTCCAGGAAATAGCCCTTTCCTCTTGAATGGAAACACCAAGACAAAACAGTCGCCTTGAATGCAATCCCTTTTAAGAGCACACTCTTACAAATTATACATATATGTTAAACTGTAACATATTATACATATATGTTAAACTGTAACATTTTTGTTCCCTTTATTAGTCTGACATTTTAAACGTTAGGCAGGACTAAAGCATTTAAACGTTGACATTTATCCATTTGTACTCTTCTTTTTTTTATTGCTAGCTATTAAAATGTACCACCTTTTATGAATCCTTATTTTCTACCTAATTATGAATAAAATAAAATATTTGATAGGTTTATGAAACAGTAGGTGAGTAATCTTAGTAGTAGGTGATCTGAATATATGAGATCCTGTATTTCAAATGTCTAAATCATGTAGAATTATATATCTTTACATAACTGTAGAACTATTGAGGCAGATTAAGAACATGACTGTTAAGTATATTTTAGAATAAGCCAAAATATTTTTCATATGGTAACAAAGCCAGATTTCCACATTTACTTATACACACGTACACACAACAGTTAGCCACATGCTATACTTCCTTTACTGCACTACAGGAAGTATGTTTCAGAGAGAAAAGGGGAAATATGTGTAAACTGTGTAAACTAAATATGTTATAAGTGCAAAAATCCCAGTATTTTCCAGACAATGAAAAAGAAAAAATACTTGAAAAGAAGAAAAATTGACTTTTGAAATTACCAGCTGCTACTATCCCTGTGCAAGAATAAAATAAGACGCACCCAGATGACTAAATATAGTCTGTATCCAAGTGGATATCAAACTACTAGAATGGAAGGCCTGGTTTATGATTATTACAATTGTCAGTGGATGGCATTGTCTAATGACCAATTCTACTGGGTTCACATGATCCATAAACTTTGTAAGCCTATAAATTATAAAACATTGGCCCCGGTCACATAGCTTTTGGTCTGTAGTCTGACACCCCTCACCTCCTGCTAAAAATCAATTGAAATATTAATATGTAAGCAATGCAATGATGACATATGTTACTTTCAATAAACTACACTATTTGTCTTTAAGAAAACCAAAATAGGAAATCGACAATGGGATTGGTTGAATAAAAAAGGTGTTTTACATAAAATGTTGCATCTCTTTATAAGATGCTTACATGGTTAGGGATTTAACAGGAAAAGATGTACAATTTTAACAGTCATGATGCAGATAGTGGCAATGTGAGAGGTCAAATTAAGTAGCATTTATACTGGAAAAGTGGTGTAACTACTTCACAGTAAACATTAAATTGCCTAACTTGGCAAGGTAAGGGAATACACTGGCTGAAGTAAGCCTGAGGATATCCTGTACATTAACAAAACGAAACTTGTACATAGAAGATTGCCAAGTTATGCAGCACAGAAAAAATGAATACGGAGGATCATATACCCGATAGCCTGAACTCATATTCCTGCATCTAAGACCTCTCTACTCTTTATTCTAAATACAACAAGAAAAATAAAGTCCAAGGGTTTGCCATTCCTTGGAAGGAAGCAGATGGGTGCAATTAATTTGCAACGAGTCCTATAATAAAAAGGTTTATTCGTGCAGTAGAACATTAGAAAAATCCTAAATCCAAAACTCTTTATACTGCAGTCTGAAAGTCTACAATAGTATTAGAGGGGAAAATGTGTATTGATTTGGGGCTTCCTAGATCAGACGGGGCCCAAACTATCATATGGTAATATAATCCAACATCCAAGTCTGAACTGTGAACTGTTTTATGCTGTAAGATATCTGCTAAAGTTCCTTACAGAAGGTTAGTTTTAGTCATAGGAGTTCTAAGGTTTAGCTTTCCTGCATAGGTCTTCAGTGCCCAGCCATCCAACCCAACAAACTCCATCTCTTAAACTGACTGTTGAATGTTACCACATTATATGTCCACATTAACTCTAAGATTCATGTTCAGTATGCATACTTCTATTGGTAAACTAAAACATAAAAAAACAATGCATTCTAGATTGAGTTGCCACAAAAACTACAGGAGACCACCTGGTGAGTCATAGCTGAATGTTTTCCATGTGGTTTCCAAACTGAAAAACACAAACAGTATATTTAACTACCAGGCAGGAAAGACTAAAATGACTAGTATAGTTTTTTTTTTAATCACATACATAGGGTTAGGGAACACCCATTGATTTCACCATAACCTCAAACATCTGCAAGCTGGAGACCAAGAACATTTAACAAATATTTACTACAGAAAACTGTATAGTAATTTTAATGGTGTAGGCAGTATAGCCAGGAGTGCATGTGACATGGTAAGCGTGCAGAAGCACAATTTGGAGACCGTTATCGCCTTATAACAGCAACATAAAATGCCTGAACAAGGACCTTCATGCCAGGATCTCCAGGTGTTCTTTTAATGAAAGTTATATATTTCAAATTACCGAAAACAACATTTGAAATTATATTATGAATTATTTTAACCAAAAAACAGGCCTGTAAAGCATAACAGGTGAACCTAACGTGCTTACTGTGCTTTTAATGAATAAGTGTACAACAAAATACAGAAAGAAAACAATGCAACCTAAGACATCTTGAGTTGTTCACTCAACAAAACATATACAGTATGTGTCGTTGAGTTCCATTCCATAAACTAATTACTAATACCTAGTAAAAAGGAAATTCTATAAAGGAAAGACCTCAGGTGTTATCACAACACAAATCAATTAACATTGCAATGTTATCCTGCAACTCCCCTCAGAATCACAACCCACAGTGCTAGATAAAATATGACAACATTGTCAAAATACAGAGAGGCTAAACACACCTGTTACATCAGCACTGACAACTGCAGGCGTCCTATATTGAATTAGGTATACATTAGTCAAAAGTATCAAATATTTGCTTTCAAACTGAAGTCATCCACATTCTGGAGTGACTAAAAACACGTAAAGGAGCGCTAGAACTCTATGTATGAGACCCTAATTGCAGTTGCAACAATATGCGGCATATGTATGAATTTGCAAAGGTCGCCCACAGACAGATCAAATTGTTTTACCACAATAGAACATAAATCCATGCAATTAAATGTCTTTCTCTGAAACACCAAAATGGACAGCACAGCAGTTTACTTAACTCATCCCGTCAAAAGAAACATAGTAGTAGCAATAAAAAGACAATAGAAAGACTGAAGACAGATGCAGCTTATGATGCAGTAATATCTTGACCAGCATTCTTCTATTTTAAATGAATACAGCTGGTACTAATGACAACCATTGCAGCGTGTCTCTTTTTGATGCACTCCATCAGGGTGACCTGGGTGACAAACATTTCATACACTCAAGCCTCAGGGAAACAGGAGTACTCCTACCTGTACTCTAACATTACATACTTCTCAAGGTGCCCATGGAAGTCAATTCAGACACATTGATTTGCGACCAGCACCCTAACACCCACAGCTGCACTCCACCCTTTAACACACTGGGTGCTTGGTGTACAAATAAATAAGCTATCTGAACTTGAGTAAGTTTACCACTTGAGGCCAAAATGCTACTTGACCAACATCTCCTGCCATTTACCTGTGTCTCCAAATGCCCCAGGCTTACCCATCACAACCACATCTCCTGCAATCTATTCCAAAAGTTTTATGGTGGCATCTGGCTCCTCAGTGGTGTTAGTGGCAGACACATTTATGGCAGACACAATCCTGGCATCCTCACGTTTTAATGGGACTGCTAGAGGCCACACTTTCCATTTTTGCATGCTCTGTACTCACAGCGCCCAAGGATCCCTTGGCTTCAAAAATGCCACTGCACACATGGACGTCTTGTTCAACCCCACAGCTGGATACCTTGCCAGTCCTAGGTTAAAGTCCTCTATCAGCCCTTATCAGAGGTGATGCTCAGGTAATAGAGTACCATTGTTTTGCAAGATGGACACCATTCCCACAAGTTTACCCATGCAAAAGCTACATTCAACTTTGGATACACCAGACATGTCCCTAGTCAATACCTATTTGGGCCATCATAACTAATAAAAGCACATTCACATCACTGGAGGGCAGGCTCCCAAGTCTTGATTAAAATTGAAGATTATGTATTAGTTTAGATTATATGGCTACTCTGCTTTAAAAAGGGACTCACCGAGAGGGCAGGATTTCCTTCATCCTCCACGACAACCTTAAGTTGATAGAAGCTCTGTTTTTCACGATCAGGAGGAGATGGCCTTGTAGAAATTTCACCAGTGAGCCTATCCATGCGGAAAATTGAGTCCTCATTGCCTTGTGTGATGTAATATGAGAGAACACTATTCAGTCCTTTGTCCTTGTCTGTAGCGTTTACTCGAATAATTGATGTTCCACCTCCAACATTCTGCATTGTAAGTAAAACAAAACAGACTGAATATGATTTAGGTATAAGGGAAAACATGCTGAACACGGAAAGAGAGGCACTTGATAACTCATACTGCATACTAACAATTGGGTCAGTGTTAGGTTAAATGGAGCCCAGTGTAATACATCAGCACTAACATAATTTCCTTTTCTTATAACACAAATACTAATTAGTAAATACTAATGGTTAATGGTAATCATCTGTATGGCATAAATGCATAATTGTGGTAGTCACTAAATGGTGAGTCGCAATCCACACACACATTTTATGCTCTAGTATGTAACAATCAGTGATATCAGGACGGTCACTAAGCTTTGATTGCCTGCTTCTATAAACCACTTAGCTTGCAGTGGCCACATGTAGATCCTTCTGTTAGCTATGACATCATTTAAATGAACCAGAAACTGAAGGGTACCATTCAGTCCGAGGTTAGCAGATGCCATGTTGCCACATAGGTACTATGCTAACAGATACTCTGGTATTACACATTAAATGTGGGCACCAATCAGTAGGTCACTGAGGCATTCACATTGTACTTTGGGATGTGGGCAGGGAGCATGTACAAACTCTACGTTTTAGCAAAATCAAGATTTACATGCAAAGTGCATCTTGGTTTAAGGGCTCCTGAAGCATGTCAAGTGGGAGTTTTGTACAACCAATAATATGTACTGTCAGTGAACCAAACTAACTTGCGCTAATGGAAATAGTAAAACTAAATTAAGATGGATTAAAATTTAAAATTGATATTAATATGACCCCGGAGCTAAAATTTCTGAAACCAAAAAGGAAAAAGCTGCTGAACTCAGGCTAAAAGCCTACAGAATAATGGTGTAATGAAGTGTACAGCGCTAAATGCCCCTCAGGAAATTAGATAACGGTAGGGATCATATGGTGTCACCTCCGTGTCAAGCAATCGTGAAACAGTGTATATATAATAAATATTTTTGTAAAAACGTATAGTACGTTATAAAATGTGTTAACAGGTGTCATAAAAAGCGTGTCATACATGAACCTTATTAAATAAATAAACAAAAATCTTCAAAGAACATGTGTCATATATGTGAAAAAAATATTATTGTGAAAAAATATTAAATAAATGTGTCATATATGTGAAAAATAAAAATATCACAATAGAAAACAGTCTGTGCTGTTTTCTTTCGAAAATAAGTAGAAGTATGCACTTATAATATATTTAAAAAAAAATCCACCCAAAGTTCTTAAAGCTCTCCGATCTTCAAAACAAAAAAGCCCAGAAGAATGAAAATCAAAAGAAATGTCCAATATTGTGAAGTGTCCAACGAAAAAACGATAACGTAGGACAAGAAAAGAAAATGTCCTAGATAAAAACGATTATCATGAGGGGTGCAGCTCTAGTACCAAACCACTTGTACCAAACCACTTGTGCCTACAAGATTCAGCAAAGGAAATCTGTGGCAGGCAATAACCAAGAACAGGTAAATCGAACTTATTTTAATAAAGTCAATAGTACAAGATAGATTCTGATTCATTTATTTGGGTTACTGTACTATTTTAGAACTATTGTGAATAAATGGCTTGGAACACTAAGTTATATGAATAGGGTTCATGGGCAGCTAAATTATATAAATTCCATATATTGTAAAATTTGTTTGTGGTAGCACAGGCATATAAAGTAGGTAGAGGTCTGAAGAAAACCTATAAAACCTACACAATCCATTTTGTAATATAATATTGTTAGACTGTCTTTCCACTTAAATCTAAAAAAAATTAAACTTCTGTAACTATACAGTTTTCAATTCCTTTTCAACAGTACCGTGGACAGTACTTCTCAGAAACTCATCCATCTGAAAATGTAAATGACACACGGCATCTTCCAAAAATCCTAAGGTTTACAAGAGTGAACATTTTCTTTGCCAACTGTATTGCACATCCAAAATAATGTAGTGTGGTTTTGCAACACAGGCAAAGAGCATGTGCTCATAGGATGCAGAACCTCCTGCTCCTACTTAGAAATCTCTTTTAGGAAGTGTAGTGGGATGGTTTTATTACACAGAATGGAAGCAGGAAAAAAGATACTAATTTTGCTAATATCCTTGCACTGGATATAGTGGATCTGCAAAGAATTGAGTTTTTCCCAACAAAGTTGAAGTTTCACTTGATGCCCAAACAGCAAAGCAAAGAAAAAAAGAATTCATGCCAAGTCATTTTTTATTATGAGTTCATAGTCATTTGATATTCTCTGTTACCAATTTTATATTTTGATATTCTTGAATTGCCCTAAGCTCCACAACAACAGAAAATAGGGCAAGAGGGGAACCTTGCTTTGTCCCCTTATGATAAGGTTAGATCTTTGCTAAAGTACATATAAACCCAAGAACAAAAATTTAATATATTACCAGTCCTTAGATGTGGTGACTGCATTTTGTAAAATAAAAAACACCTGTTAAACTGTTACAAATCTTCCAAAAACTGAACTTAAAATCTCAAACAAAGCTATTTGAATTCCCAACTATCCTCTCTGAACGCCTCCTCTCTGTGTAAGATAGAGAAAAGGGGAGGTGTTTGACAAGACATATGTTGCTGGCAAAATCAGCAGGTGAAAATAAAGATACAAAAGCCTGAGAAGAGAAAACCAATGCAGCCATCACATCTAAGGACTGGTAAGCTGCAATATATGATATTTTTGCTTCTGGGTTTAGCTACACTTCGAGGATAAGAGCAGAGTGACTTAAAATCATCTATAGAGGTACACATATTATAATGGTGATGCTGAATTTCTCTGTAGTGGAGAACATATACGACCAAATAAACAATTCAAATGTTTTCCCGAAGGGGAGCATTTAGAAAGCAGTGAATGTGACATTCACCTAACATTCACTGGAGAGTAATTTAAAGAAGAACTCGTGGGAAAAAACATGTCTTAACCTTTGCAGTGGGGCTACCCCTGCACTACAAGGGTTGAGTGCTTGTTTTCATCTACGATGTAAAAAAAAGTTTTATTCACCTGAACCAGCTGGCTCTTTGACTGGTCCTTCCACCCTCTCTCCTCCTCTGCTTCGGTGGTCTAAGGATCCTTGAGTCATCACGTCCAATACACTGTGTATAGGAGATGAGGATTCTGAGGGACACATCTCTGCAGCGGAGAAGGAGACAGACTGGAGGGAGCGCTCTAACAGCCAATTCACAAGAGTAAAAACTAAAAACTGCCCGTGTATTGTCAAGGCAATTAGATAAGAATGGTCCAGTGAAAGAGGCACCCATGGGTCTTGTAATAAAGCAACATGGATACATTTATTGGTCCACGTTTTGACAAGGCACTGCTGGTCTTTCTGTGCCTTGTCAATAGGTTGAAAATACATTCATCTGTGCTGCTTCATTACAAGACCTGTACAAGGGCAGTTTTTCATTTTTACTCTTACCTGAGTGTAGTGCCCACCATTGGAGTTTTATATACACTTCTGACCTGAAGAAGAGAGGTTCACTCTCGAAAGCTTGTCTTTTATATATTTTGTTAGTCCAATAAAAAAGGTATCATTGCACACTGCAATACTGCATTTTTGTCTTTTTTGACATTATATATATATATAAAACTGAACTCATTCCTCCTATGTCTGGGAAGGCACTATCTGTATTCTTACTTTTAGGTTTTCTTTCATTCCTTTTTTACACTAAGATTTTGAGTATCTGTTCTGGTAAACTCTCTGCTTATCAAGCCTTGATAAAGTTTCTACAATGATGAAATCAATAGTCTATAACATGGCAGCATCATATTTTCACATACCTCATACACACTAACATTGTAACCGTATGGACGGTTAATGATAGGAGGATTGTCATTCACATCTATGACGTTCACTGTTAGGGTGTAATCTGTTCTTCGAATTGGAGATCCTTTATCTGAAGCCTGAATCTAAATAATTATAAAAGAAATGATGTAGTTATTACTAAGCCAACAAACTAGAGCTATTAGTTTCCAAAATCAATCTTTAAACCTGCATTTAACTGACCTCAGCACTTGCATACAAAGTTTAATACCTTATTTTATACCATATTTTTGATCAGAATATACATTTGAAAGGGCTAAAGGTCTGATAAAAAAATAGTAAACAAACATTCCACAAGTTCAAGTAACCATTCTATGTAGTCTTCGATCAATGAATAAGTATTGCTAGGGGTTATTTTTTTAGCAGTCATAAATTGTACATTGTGAGTTGTTCCCCAACTAGGGAATGGTGTAATTCAGCACATCTAGATTATCATACAGTGAAAATATTCAACACTTTTTTTTATGCTACTTCTAAGGGATCATGAACAGACTACACTTAGATGAATGCTGATGCCTGCTGGAGTGTGCTTTGGGAGCATGATAGTCTATGTTCATTATAGCCATTCTGCACATTATTCTCTTCAGGCAAACTATGGCTTGTGTGCAAGAACATTTGTATGCAGTGGCCCAACTATCGCCATAGTGACCCAGGCAGCCGCTATGGGGCCTGAGGCACAAGAGGGCCCGGCCAAGATGAGGAACAAAGGGCCGTCTGGGTCGCTATGGCATTGCAGGCTGCTGGCTGTCGCTGGCATCTGTGAGGAGGAACACGCCACTGTTCTGTGCAGCGGCACGTTCCTCCTCATAGCCGCTGCTGAATCAGTGACAGCCAGCAGCTGTGGAGGAGGAGCCTGGGCCTGGCGTCAGAAGCGGAGGAAGCATGGCACGGCATCGGCAGCAGAGGGGGCGGGGCCCAGCGACAGAGGAGGAAGGGCCCGCCAGCGACCATGGAGGAGGCGGGGCCTGGTGGTGGAGGAGGCTGACAGCGGATCAGGGCTGACAGGTAAGAGGTGTGCAGGGGTGTGACCAGCCCACCTCAGACCCTTCAGAGCCCACCATATAGAGTCTATGGTGGGCTCTGCAGAGTCACTCTCAGGTGGGCTGTTTGGAATCTCAGGTGGGCTCTGCAAGGGACGTAACTAGAAATCACAGGGACCCATGCAAGCTTTTGCTATGGGGCCCTGTGATTTCTAGTTACACCCCTGTTTGTATATCATTCTAATGCCGGAAATCAATGAGATTCAGAAGACATGAGAATATTTGTATGGGTTGCTAGCTTACTTTTTTGGTTTTGTTGTAAAACGGCAGGAAAACGCCCCACATATGCTCCTGTACTGCTTTGGGCGTAGGGCGTTTTGCACCGCATTCCTACGCGCTGTAAAATGCCCAGGTGGGAACCATGCCCATAGGCAATCATTGGTTTTCACATGTTGAGCGTTTTACAGCGTGTAGGAACGCGCTGTAAAACGCCCAGGTGTGAACCAGTCCTTCAGCAGAAAAAGACCAGGTCCCCTCCACAGCCTAGCAGGCCTAAGCTCTGTGGTAGGGCTGTATGAACTGCATGCACACGCTTTGGCAGGAAAAACATCTCCTATATGTATTTTCTTCTGTGAATTTAGCTGTTTTCCTGGAGTTCAGCTTTACATACAGCTGGTAAATACCTGCATCTGTCACCCACCCAGATAACAAGGATAACTTGCCACAAACTTGTGGCAGGGTTAAATTGTATTTCTTTCTAACTTGCTGCACACATTCCCTAGCAAGTTGTAGACTTGCAGAACACTTGCAGCACAAGTTCTAGTTGACACACTTTTTGAATTTGTAGCACATTTGCTTGGCAAGTCTACAGCAAGAGTCCTGCAGGTCTTATCAAGTGCTCTGCAAGTGTTCAGCACTTTTGCAAAGTATATTGATCTGGAGACTTGCAATGCAGACTTGCTGTAATTGTGCAACAAAATTGTGAAGCTTGGTAAGTCTAGTAGTAAAAGTTTAGCAAGTCATTTTCAAACTTGCAGCTCAATTGCTTGCTATCTGGGCAATAGCACTCAATAGCTAAATAGACTTTAAGAGGAAGGATCATCACATATATCATAAGGGCTCTAAGGCTTTAAACAGTACTTGTGTTCCTATGCTGTCTATATGCTTAGGGGAGTGCACAGGGATGACTTCATCAATGTGCTGCTGCTAACTTACTATCCCAACAGCAAACTGGGAGAGGAGTGCTCACCAAGGAAAAATGACTCATTTACTCATTGTTTTCTACACCTGCCAGATGAATGAATACCATTACCATATATTTCAGGGGTGGTGAAATGTACACATATAGGATGCTTGCAGCCACGGGAGTAATTTAGGACAAATACACAGGGCACAGTATACAGGTCCTGTGATTATGGTTTTGCCTGGAGTTCTGCTTTTAGGTGCTGTATATTATGTAGATTTTCTTGTATTTTACATATTTTCTTTAACATATATAGTTGATGATCTAGGTTAGGCAAAAACTAAATATAAAGGCATTTTGCTTCTGGTAGAACCCCCACAATGAAAGTATCATTGGCTTGAATCATGAGTTTATATATTCTGGGAAATATATGGCCTGCCGTTTTTTTTTATACAGATGGCATTAAAACTGTTCCGCTACATTTAGATTCTCTTGTCTGTATTCCAGACAGCAAAACCAAATAAAAGGCTACTAATACTGTTTTTTTGAGTTCATGCAGAAACACGTGGACCACTTTTCAGCACTAAAATGTGAGTTTTACATGACTGCCTGTTACAAGCTTTTTTATAATCCACAGACTGTTGGCATACACAGATGCATATTAGTATAGCATTAAAGCCAAAACAGAAGTAACAGAAATAAACATTCAGTCAGTTATGAACAGTAACAACTTCCAGTTTGAAATTCCTGTTTTCATTTCCACTTAATTTTCCTAGCAGAACTACTTGACATGACAGTGTAATCCAATAGGCGTCAGAGCTTGACCACATTGACCAGACCACTCTGTGATCTAAAAGATCTGGTCAGACACACCCCCTGCCCTCCTTCACACTAGTATCTGTAAGGCTGGCCATACTTCTAATGTGTTCTCTTGTTCAGCCCTGTGGCCTGAACCAGAAGAAAAGCTGTTTAGCATGAATGGAAGAATCTCCCCTGCCCTGCTATCGTATTCTGACATTGGTGGGTGTGCCGCAGTCCGAATACCCAAACAGCAACTGCAGATGATTGGGCTGCAGTCACTGTTTGCCTGTGAAGTTTTGACGCTGCTCCTTCAACAAAAGTCGAAGTTGTTGAAAGGAGGGCTCCAACAGGCGACACACTAATTGAATATCAGCCGAGTCCTGTATGCCCAGCTATAGGGATGCTAATCTATCAAAATAAGGGATTTCAATGGGAGGGAAGGAAACATTTCCACAAGATACAGCTTCATAACCTTGTTTACAGCATAATGGCCTCTTGCAATCCTCTGAACAGTAGAGCTGAGATTGGGAAAGAGAGAAGCAGCACAAGGAGCCAATTGGGTGAGCTGCAGTGCTCATGTGCTAACAAGGAGCATTCTAGTAGGAGTAGAAATCAGTTTATCAGTGTGCTGCCTCCCTACCCCCCCCTTCAGTCACAGGCGGGAGGGACAAGACCTGTTCATGTAACTGAAATGCACCAGAGAAAAATCAGGTCTTCTGTTCTGCCAGAAAGGGCTGTGCTGTGGGGTGTGGAGCGGAGTTGTTAAATCTGAGAGCTGTATATGTAGAAATACAAATCAATTGACAGGTAAAACAGCTCACATATACAGTAGGTATTTCATCTGAGCATTTAGCTGTTTGTCTGAAGTTCAGCTTTAACGGATTCACTCTCAGTTCTGTAACAGGTATGACTTTAGCAAACCACTTCTGTCACTTAGCTATTATAATGGAGATGAAAGAATCACCTGCAACCACTATAAAAAGAAGATGGAGTACATAAAAGCACTACTGCATGCATCTACTAAGTGCTTCCACAGGATGGGAGCCAACATAGACACTGCAGACATCAGATAAGAGATACAGGAGGAGGTCCTATGCAAAGATGTATCCCTTATGGCCAACATAAAAAATGAAATGACATCCCAGAGGTAGATAACAGGGGATAAAAACTAAACAGTCAAATTAACCCGTAAAATAGCTTCCATTTAATGTTGGGAAAACGGTATATCCTAGTAATACAAACTAGTGTTACCATTACCTTTAACACATGCAGCTCTTGCAATTCTCTGTCCAGGGATTTCGCCAGGAAAACTTCACCATAAGATTCATTGGTGGTGCGGATTTCAAACAGCCTAACTGCATTACCAGCTGCTATGGAAAAGGCCACCTTTGACAAATGAATGAAAAATACATATTTTACCACTTTGCTAAAGACTTTCAAGAATCAGAACATCACAGTAATAGAAAAGAGTCCTCCTAAGATTATGGATCATCTGTCCATAAAACAAAACTAGCAGGCAAACAAAGTTGGAAATGTATGTTGATCCATTGGCTTCAATGCTTTCTGAGTCTCTGCCCAAAAAGTAATACAGATCAGGAAATTCATGAAAAGTCACAAGTCCTGATCTGCATACTTGTGAGTATCTCAAGTGTAAAAGAGGGTCAGCAAGACAGCCAAGCACCTAGTATTTTTACAAGCACACATCGATAATGGCAGCCTCTATGTTACTCTCATCGCAGGTGCATTGCTGGCAAAAAAAATAAAACAAAGTCTATGATCAGAGGGGTTTTTTTACCATGCCATTATCTCCAGCATCAGGGTCTCTAGCCATGACTAGAGCTATACGCTGGCCGGTGAGACAGTCCTCCGCCACATTGACCACTGAATCCGATGTTGGATCAAATTGAGGGTTGTTGTCGTTCTCATCCAAAACTGTAATCTGTACCTGTAGAGACAAATGAACACATTCCATCAAACTCTAGTCACTCTATACTCTAGTCCCACAATAACATTACCTGGCCTTAATCAATTGGTTCTGACATTTGGAAACATACAAGCGAGTTTTGCAGACCTTCTTTTATTTAGGCGGTCTACTGTGTTTGGTTCAGAAGACTTTGGCACACAAATTGGTATTTGAAAGCTTGACGAAGGTCTGGGATTGTTTTGGAGACACAATCATGGATCAACGTTTTATTGTCATTGCCACTTGTTGGACCATAAGGACTCAGTAATCACTTTATTTTAAAATGCACTACTGCACAAGACATTCTTGGCACTTTATTTATGACACATTATGTTTATAGAATATGTGCTGTGTATATTTATTGATGCATTGAATCATTTTTAGTGTAAGGTGATGGATTGGATAATGTATTTTAGCACAGACACTTTTACGAATCTATATTTTTGTATTGCTGCTATACTGTAGATAATAAACAACAAACGAGGCGTTATCTCAATGTTTTTTCTCCATTTATGTGATCCTAAACAGGATCTCTGACCCACAAGGATGGTTACCATGACCACCTTCACAGAGAAGGAGAGACATGAGTTCATCTAAGTAAAAGGGGTATATGACTCTTGCTAGGCACAACAAAGAAATTGCGGCGTTTCTCAAAAGCAAAATCAAAGACATTGGCTGCAGACAAGGTGCTACAACAAAGCTAAGCTAACTGCTGATTTAACCTGTTATGATGATATGGCTGTATTTCCTAGCACGTCTTCCATTTCTGTGAATATTTGAAAGTAGAAAGAGAGTGATGGACCTATGTGATTATTACGTTTTTATTATCCAGTAGTGATTAAGTGATGGGATTATGTATATTATGGCGTATGGATAGGTAACTATCACTGACCAAAGGGTCTCAACATTGTGCTTGCCTTGACAGTGAACACAGAAAATGTAGGAATTGAAGAGCCACACCAATTAAATTAGTCCAGATACACCCTTATTCCACTGGGGTCAGGGGATCTGGAAAATTTTAATTGTAATATTTCAGTTGGCAGGCTGGGGGGCTTCAGGTAAGAGGAGCAGCACATGTGTGAAGGTGAAGGGACCCTGCACAGCTCACCATAGATCCTGCACAGCCCACCTGAGAGTCTCAGGTGGGCTGTGCAGGGTCTGTGGTGAGCTCTGCAGGGTCTCAGGTGAGCTGTGCAGGTTTATCGTGGACTGTGTGGGCTCTATGGTGGGCTCTACAAGGTCTCAGGTGAGCTATGCGGGGTCTGTGGTGGGCTCTACAAGGTCTCAGGTGGGCTGCGCAGGGTCTGTGGTGGGGTTTGCAGGGTTTTTGGTGGGCTGTGCAGGATCTATGTTGGGCTCTGCGGGGACTGGTGGGCTCTGCGGGATCTATGGCAGGGTCTCAGGTGGACTATGTGGGCTCTGCTGGGTCTCAGACTGACCCTGCAGAGCCCACAAGAGATCCTTCACAGCCCACCTGAGACCCCCACTTCACTGCTATGCTACGAATGCAACCTGTTGGAAACTAGATACTGCGTGCATGCTGTATGCAGTGACTCACAGGTTACACAAAATGTCTTAAACAGGAGGGAGTGGGGCAAATTTAGATTGAGGGGGTGCCCGAGTTCCGTCTTGCCTAGGGCAGCACAAAACCTAAATTCATGGGTTTTGCTGCATGAAAACGGACAAGTGTTAATAGGCACTGAAGGCCCTTAAGATATGTGAATTGCAAGGCACCTGTGAGCCAAGCGAGAATATTATATAATTTAGAGAAAGTCAATGGAAACAAAGTAAGGACATGCTAGCAGAAACACAAACACCAGGCATCCACTATGGTTTTGCTCAGAAATTTCCAGAAACAATTACTCACCATACCTTTCGTTCAAGCTTAAAGGAGAACTATGAGGTGAGTGCTTTTCACTCACCTCATAGTTCTAGCCGACCTGTGACAATGAGACTGTCACAGGTCGGCTCAGTAGATCGGGAAGTGAGCAAACACATACCGGTGTTCGCTCACTTCTCGATCCTGTCACGGCTCTCTGCCGTGACAGGGGAGGGGCTGGATTCCCCCCTCCCCGCTCTGATCCACCAGCGCTGACTGGCAGAACGGACGGGGGAGGGGGCGGGTACAGCTGGCTCTGCCTCTAGATAGGCAGAGCCCATTCACTCACGCAGCTGGGCGGATCTCGACATCGATGTCGTGATCCGCTCCGGCGTCTCAGTATCCCGCGAGTTGTAGCTTGCGGTATACTGAGCTTAGGGTGATGGGAGGACACTAGTTTGTGTCCTCCCGTTACCCTAAGGAGAACTATGGGCAAAAGCCCTGACCCCATAGTTCTCCTTTAAGTTCATAAGTTCACAACCTTACATATTTACTTGTCACCTCAATTCTCTACGACTCTTACATACAGCAAATGTATTTCTCGGTACACCGAGACATTAGAACAAGCAGCACTCCAAACCGTCCGCTGAGATTGACCTTAGATGAGTCTAGAGCTATTATTACAGCTTCTATTTTTACCATCTATTCCTATGTGTCCATCACAATTGTACTACTGGAGTACGACTGATAGGACATGAAAATTGTTTTCATTTATCTATGTGCATTACACTGCATTTATTATAAATGCTGTATAGTCACCTGATACTTAAAGTATATCATAACGTAAGAAAAAATATGCAGCTTAGCAATACAATGTAATACTATATTAAATGTATGAACAATTTCAGAATGTTGTATTATGCAGTAGTTTGTAAAGATATTAAACATGTGCAAAACAGTGCTTTAATGATGTAATGTTCTCATCACACTATGTATTAATAATACATAGATTTATATAACGAAAATGCAAAATAAACAAAAGCAGTTATACATTTCCTGTTTTAACTTTATGGACAACCCTTTAAAAGATTGAATAAAACAAAGAGCACTGTAATTCTTTTATTAAAGACCTTTCTTGACATTTATGCTTCTATATGTTCATTGTGTATTTACATTTATGAACTGCTCTCCATGCAAAATGTTTGTAGCTTGGAAAAAAATCAGTCTCTTTACTTTATGTTAATAAATCCACTTAACTAGTGAGAAGGTCACATACATGAAATACAGTCTTTACTTTGCATCTAAACTCATAGGTCTAAGACATAAAAACTGAAGTAAACATATTGCACAATAGAAACTTGCAAAAGTGACCATAGTGAAACGCCTTTCCCCCAGGAAATGGTGGGGGGAGGAGAAAGTCTGGTTATCTAGTGAGTCTGGCACTTCTGCTAAGGTGTAATTAAAGTGATCAGGTTCAGGTTTGGTGCTACCATGAGTTTCAGTGGAATCCTGCAGGTTCAAGATTCATGGTCCTGGTGAATTCATGCAGGAATGTTGCGGCCCATATTATTTGTTACTATAGGTCTTTGAACAATGGGCAACAGCCTCAGAAGGGCCAAAAGGGGAACTTTTAGCTAAGACAGCCTCCTCCTTATAAAAGATGAGGCAGAGGGCAACCATTTTGTTAGTGTATAGGAAGCTGCTGTAGGGTGGTTTGACGCTCGGTCCAGAACATCCGCGAGTCGGCCGTGTGGTTAGAGGGGGGAGAGATCATAGGGTGAGTAAGCGTGTGTCAAAGGTCGGTGGCAAGAAGTGTCTTATCCAGGGCTCCCATAACTTTTCAAACTTCGGCATTTGATCGTCTAGGCGTGCGGAGAGTTTCTCGTGAGAGAAGATCCAATGGATTTTGTTTTTAGCGGCTTGGAAGGAGACCTTGTTGGTAAGCCAGGAACTGGCAATGATGAGTTTGGCGGCTGAAAGGACATGTAGCATCAATTTGAATTTGCGAAATGGGATGTGCATGGGCTTGGTGTTGAGTAATGCTATTTGCGGGGAGGGGGAGATAGGGGTGACCATAAGAGTAGATAACATTTTGAAGATTTTTGACCAGAACGGCTGGAGGACGGAACATGACCACCATATATGCATATAAGTGCCACTGGCAGAGCAACCGCGGAAGTGCCCTCGCAATCCAGCACAAAGTGTTGGGCCTGTGAGGGGGTAATATACCAGCGGAGTAGTAGTTTATAATTGGTCTCAAGTATTCTGGCGCTCTTAGAGCAGTTATTGGTGGATGTCCATATCTGGGACCAGGTGTCTTCGGGAAACACGAGGTCCATGTCTTTCTGCCAGCGGTCCATATATGGGTGGTGTGGGGTTTGGGTGGATTGTAGGGATGTAATATATAACTGCAAAATAATACCGGGAGAGTGGGGGTCTCGTTTACAAATTGTTTCAAATGGAGACTAAGTCTGTAAGTTTCCATTTTGATTGCTATTGGCTTGTATAAAGCTTTTTATTTGTAAATAACAAAAGAGTTCAGAGGCTGGGATTGAATGTTGTGATTGTAGATTTGGGAAAGGAATTATATTGTTGGTATTATAGAATGAGTAAAAGTGTGTGACGCCCTTTTGTTTCCATTTGTGGAAAGCAGCTGGGGAGTCGTGTGCCGGGGGAAAGGCTGGGTGCTGTAAGAAGGAGAGCATGGGTAGGTGCGGTGAAAGGAGCCCGCTGGAATATTTAGAGGCATCCCAAATGCGGAGCGAATGACATGTGATAGGGTTCGAGATTCCCTTCCTGTGTTTGGGGGTGGATCCACAGGAGATTGTCTATGGTCAATGGATCGCAGTCTATGGCTTCGATGGAGACCCATAAAGGTGTTTCAGTGGACGCGTGGTATTTAGCTACAGCAGCTAATTGAGCTGCGTAATAATATTTTTGAATGTGTGGTACGCCTAGGCTGCCAGAGTGTCTACTCTGATACATAGAGCTCGCCGTTATCCTAGGCTTTTTGTGTGACCAGATGAAGGAAAGGAGTACTCTCTGTATGACTCTGAGTTAGTGGAGGGGTATTGGGGCGGGTAAAACCCGGAATGGGTATAGGAGTTTTGGCAATATGGTCATCTTGATCGCAGCAATTCTACCTAACCACAAAAGGGGGTAG